TGATACTCTGGCTTTGGTCAAAAGTTCAAGTAATTATCAGAGCTATTATATCATTTGTAAATTTTGAACCTTACAGATATAACATTTTATTATCACTTGGACCTTTTTTTAAAAAAATATTTTTATTGATTTCAGAAAGGAGGAAGAGAGATTTGTTGTTCCACTTATTTATGCATTCATTGGCTGATTACTTGTATGTGTCTTGACCAGAGATCAAACCCACAACTTTGGTGTATGGGACAACACTCCCAACTGAGCTACCCAACCAGGCAGATCATCAACCTTCTTAAAATGATGTACGAAAGCAACAGACAGTATGGAATTCACCACTGTGTGTTTAAACGAGGAGTGCTTTAGACAGATCTTAAAAGAAACAACAGGAATAGAGAGAAGCAGAAGGAGTTCAGAAAGTATGCAAAGGCAGGATGATAAGCATGCAAAGCAGAATTAAAAACTAAACAATTTCTCTTCTAATCTATCAGGTTGAACCAGAAGAGTTATGTTATAGTAATAAAAGTTACCAACTTATTAATTATATTTCCACTTTGTTCCTGAAAGAATTTAAACTTATAAGTATATTTTAGTATATATTAAAACGTGACTAGATAACATAAAATAAAGAGACGAGATGAGGCACTTGAGTATCAAAATAAAAAACAAAAACCCACCTTCCATAGAATGGAATTCTTGCTTTGGTAGCATTCTGTTTTAGTTGGTCAAAAGCCCCTACGAGATAAAGAGTTAATGAATTCTCAAACTTAAAAATAAAAATTACAGGAAACAAAATTTTAAATTTTAACACATTACCTGCTCTGAATGTGTCTGCACATATCAAACAGGTCTTCCAACCTTTCCTCTGGTAATAATAAGCTAACTGGGGAAGGAAGATTAAAAAATATGTAATATTTACCAGTAATAAAAATACATTATTATATACAGAATTTTTACTGTTTATCCTAGTTATTTACTTAAGGAATTAAGTAAAACTACCCATATTCTCCTGAGTAATATTATTAAATTTTTGAATACAGTAACTTTCCTAAAGAGTTTAAATTCTGCCATACAGACACATTCAAAGGATAAAAGATGATCAAGCAACAAATGACTGTAGTAAAAATTTTTAATTACTATTAGTGTCCATAAAGTAAAAATAGTAACATAATCTAAGAAATAATCTTTTTTTTCAAGGCTTTAACATAGTTGAAGCTTGTGAAACTAAAGGTGGTAACAAAGTTGAGGCACCCAATTCTGGAGGAAAGTGTGGTATAATAAATTAAAAATTAGCATAAGAATATCTATATATATATATATAAGCCTAAGCAATCGAACGACTGATCACTATGACATGCACTGACCACCAGGGGACAGACACTCTTGTCCGGATCGGGCCTGAGGGGATCAGGCCGAAACTGGCTATCTGACATCTCCTGAGGGGTCCCATATTGCGGGAGGGCACAGACCAGACCAAGGGACCCCACTGTGCATGAATCCGTGTACCAGGCCTCTAGTTTAAAATAAAGATCTATATTATGCTGGATGTGACACTGTGAATAGGAGAGTCTTGAGCCATAGGGGATAAGGTAAACTTTCCTTTTCTTCCTCTAAAAAATCATATACTCACCTCCTTAAAGGACAGGAAGTCTTACTGGTAAAAGAAATAACATAGTTATATAGAAATTAGAGGCCCAGTACATGAAATTCATGCACTGAGGGGGTCCCTCAGCCTGGCCTGTGCCCTCACAGTCTTGGACCCCTAGCTCCTCACCGTCAGCCTGCTTGCTGCTCCTTAGCACTGCCACAGAGTTGGGAGAGGCTCCAGCCACCACTCCTGCGCTCGCCAGCTGTGAGCCGGGCTTCTGGCTGAGTGGCACTCCCCCTGTGGGAGCACACTGACCATCAGGGGGCAGCTCCTGCATTGAGCATCTTCCCCCTGGTGGTCAGTGCGCATCATAGTGACCAGTTGTTCCTCTATTCGGTCGATTTGCATATTAGGCTTTTAAAAAAAATATATATTTTATTGATTTTTTACAGAGAGGAATGGAGAGTGAAAGAGAGTTAGAAACATTGATGAGAGAGAAGCATCGATCAGCTGCCTCCTTTACACCCCCTACTGGGGATGTGCCCGCAACCCACAGTACATGCCCTTGACTGGAATCGAACCCGGGACTCTTAAGTCCTCAGGCCAACGCTCTATCCACTGAGCCAAAGCAGTCAGGGCGCATATTAGGCTTTTTTTTATATAGGATCTGTCATTTTTACAAAAAGTAATCACAAGTGCCTTGGCTAGATAGAGCATCAGCCTGTGGCCTGAAGGGCCCAGGGTTCGATTCTAGTCAAGGGTACATGCCTGGGTTGTGGGCTTGATCCCCACTGGGGGGCATAAAGGAGGTGGCCGATAAATGATCTCTCTCATCACTTATGTTTCTACCTCTCTCTCCCTCTCCCTTCCTCTCTGAAATCAATAAAAAATATGTATATATTTTTTAAAAAAAGCAATCACAAGAGAAACTATGGGTTTACTTTTTCTTATCCTACAAAAAGCTATTACAAATATATAATAGATACATCAAGTAACACAAATCTGAAAAGCAACAATACTATAAAGCCTGATTCAACATAAAATTTGATTTTTATAAACCTATCTTTTCTATAACTTTATTTTAAAATTAATTATAATTTACCTTTGAACATGTGGTAGTTTTACCACTCCCTTGCAATCCAACAAACATTATCACATTCTGTTTTCCTTTAGTAGGTGTCCATGCTTTAACTCCAGGGTCTACAAGCTACATTCCAAAAATAAAATCAGGTTAACATATGCTTACATTCAAAGCATCTCTCCCCAAAACTTTTAAATTGTAAAAATAATTTAAGGACATTTGTATAAAAGGAAACCATTATTCTACCATTCTAATACAACTCTATTTCCCTTTGTACACACATAGTGAAATTTAAGAACTTAAAATAATGCATTGTGAAGTCATAAGCAAGCCTATACTGCCAAACCAATTCAGAGTAAGGATCTCAAAACATTTTTTAGGACAAAGTAGAATGTGAATGAAATGTGAGACTGAGTTTGAGCCAAAGGAGCAATCCACACCAGCACTGCAGAAATATGAAAATATATATATAGGTCACATATGAATTTTTAAATTTCTAATAGTGACATTTAAAAAAGCAAAAACAATATTAATTTTAATACTTTATTTAACCCAATACACCCAAAATATTAACATTTCAACATGCGGTCTATACTTAATAACTAAGATATTTTATATTCCCTTTTTCTATAGTAGGTCTTCAAATTTGGCAAGTGTTTCATACTTGTAGTACATCTCAATTTGGACTAGTCATATTACAAAAGTGCTCAATAACCACAGGTGGCAAATGGCTACAATACCGAGACAGCACCTATCTTTACATTCAATTTGACAAATGTTGATATATGAGCAAAATTATAAATTACATGTGAAAGACGTTCCAAGTCAGTCAAACGTCAAATTTTCCAACACCAAAGATCTACTGTTCTATAAATTAATTATATTTAGAGGGTTAGTAAAAAATAATGTGGAAAATTAAGGTTCATACATGAATAGTCCCTAAACTAACAAGCATGAGGTATTTTTAAAGTTCATTGAAAAAAAAATAATTTATTTGCAAGTCAGTTATTTGGAGCTTAAAACATGGATCTCCATCCTATATAATAAAAGCCTAATATGAGCCTAACCGGTTTGGCTCAGTGGATGGAGTGTCAGCCTGCGGACTGAAGGGTCCCAGGTTCGATTCCGGTCAAGGGCATGTACTTTGGTTGCAGGGACATCCCCAGTGGGGAGTGTGCAGGAGGCAGCTGATCGATGTTTCTCTCTCATCGATGTTTCTAACTCTCTATCCCTCTCCATTCCTCTCTGTAAAAAATCAATAAAATATATATATTTTTAAAAAGCCTAATATGCTAAGTGTCTGGTCATCTGTTCAACCAATCAAAGTGTAATATGCTAAGGCTGCTCAACTGCTCCCTATGATGTGCACTGACCACCAGGGGGCAGATGCTCCAACTGGTAGGTTAGCTTGCTGCTGGGGTCCGGCCAATCAGGAATGAGTGAGAGGGGCCAGATACGCCCTAGAGCCCTCCCTCGGTCCCTCCTGGGCTGGCCAACCTCCTGCATCCCTCTCTGGCCCTGATCGTGCACTGGTGGGGTCCCTTGGCCTGGCCTGCACCCTCTCGCAATCTGGGCTGAGGAACCCCATCCCTGAGTGCACGAATTTCATGCACCAGGCCTCTAGTATAATAATAAAAACATAATAGTAATTAATGTCCTAGATCAGAAATTGGCAAACTACTGTATGTGTATAAAAAGTTTAATGAAACATTACCACACCCATTCACTTACTGCTTTTGTGCTACAACAGCAGAGCTGAGTAGTTGCAACAGAAACCATATGGCCCACAAAGCCTAAACTATTTAGTCCTTAAGAGTAAGTTTGCCGAACTCATGCTACAGGATACCATAAAAGTCACATAATCCATATTATACTTGAATTTGGAGGAAAGCCACATTGTAGAGAAAGGAGGAAAAGAATACACATTTGCCTAGCCTTATTAAGCAAACTTATGAAATAGGCAAAATCTATCTTAAATATAAATCCACTCCTTTTAGAAAACTGCTGCTACCTTACATTTACCTCCATTCTCTATATCTCATGGCCAAATGAGCTCTCTATGAACCTACTATTTGGAACATATGCATTTTACTGAATTATTATTTTATAAATCTATTCTTCTAGCTGCACTCTACAATAATAGTATGGAAATTTTTAATCTCAGGACTCCTTTATAATCATAGTTTGTAAAGGTTAGTGCAATGTAGAATATGAAATCCTATTAACTTTCTTTTTTTTCCTATTAACTTTCATACTCTATTACAGCGACTTTCAACCTTTTTCATCTCATGACACACATAAACTAATTACTAAAATTCTGCGGCATACCAAAATATATACTGTACTTTTTGCTGATCTGACAAAAAAAATAGGTATAATTTTGACTCATTCACACCAGACAGCTGCTGTTGTGCTGGCTTTTGTCATTTTTTTTAAATATTATAACCTAAGGGAAAAGAGGTCAGTGCCCCTGACTAAATAGTCAGATATTGAATGTTTTAAAAATTCTTGCAGCACACCAGTATGCCACTGCAGTTGAAAATTGCTGCTCTATTACATTAAAATCTGTTATTGTATCTTGCACTTTGCATGGATCTTACGTTACATGATTTTCTAATATCGTACATTAGTCATTTTGAAAATATTGGGATTCACATTCACTATACAACTCAAATAATTTTATTTATTAATATCAATACTGATCTCATCAGAAAAGTAAATATTGGAACACTGTCAAACTTAAGGTAGAGATACAAGTTTTTAGTTTTCACTTGAAAACTTGAATTTTATTGCTGGCCACAATATTGTTAGTTATTTACCTTAAAGTGCCAGGCTTACTTTATTTACTTTGGAGAAAATATTTGCCAAATACCCAAATCTGAATAACCAGACTACCTATTTGTTGTACATTCACGTAAAAATGGTGATGTAGCCCTGACCGGTTTGGCTCAGTGGATAGAGCGTTGGCCTGCAGACCAAAGGGTCCCAGGTTCGATTCCAATGAAGGGCATGTACTGTGGTTGCGGGCACATCCCCAATAGGGGGTGTGCAGGAAGCAGCTGATCGATGTTTCTCTCTCTTTGATGTTTCTAACTCCCTATCCCTCTCCCTTCCTCTCTGTAAAAAAATCAATAAAATATATTTTAAAAAATAAAAACAATCTTTAAAAAAATGGTGATGTAGAAAAAAAGTGGCTTACAATCAAACAATCACACAAGGGCTTTCCTCAAGTCAACCATCAAATTTCAGTATACAGCAAAAGGGCTTTCTGCATATTTCCCATTTCATCATACAAAATCTTATAAAGACGTGTGTATACTCAAGGATCAAGATTTAGTACAACTAATAATTTCTATTGCTCCATCAAGGACATTCTTAAGTGAAACTGGCAATTTATTTATTTATTGCAAGTGTGTGGTAGTAAAGAGTACAATGTCCACCAGTATAGTTTGGTACCACTGCTTTGATTTGTGCTGAGGAGTTTTACTCACAAGTGCTTTTGCACCATCAGTGCAAATACCAACACAGTAAAAGAGACAAAAAAGGCCAATGATGTCTTCATGTTACTGTGAAAACAGTTTGACCTTACTTTGAACACCACTGCTCTGGACCATAAGCTGAATATAAGCACCAGTCTTGCTCACTTCTGTTATCAGCGGCATTTAGCATAATGCCTAGAATAAGGCAGATACTCAATAAATGCTTTTTAACAAACCACTTGATGCTCCGGAATCGCCTATAGAAGCCAACCCCTAAAATTAACAATTTTCACTCATCCTGTGCTCATCTCAGGTGTTAGATGAAAAGCAATCTGGAAATAATGTGAGCAGCACTGCACAAGGAATTTGGAGATCAGACCTAGGTCTGCCACCAACTAGTTGTCTTACTTTTCTCAACTGCAACTGAGAAGTATGACTGGATAGATCTCTGATTCCTTTCCTCTGAATTTCCTTTGTTATTAATTAGTCTACAGAACTAAACTGAAATGACATAGCCATCTGAGATAACTAGACTTTCTCCAAGTACTAATCAGCTCTGCAGGAACCAAAGGAGTAAATAAAACAAATCACACAACATAGAGAAAAATACCAGGAGACCACTAGCAGACATCTGTTGCTCTTTAAAAAGAAAAAGAAAGAAAAAAAAGAGGCTTTAGTTCCTTCTCTTTCCCCTCTCCCCACCATTAGATTGCATACATATTTATTAAAACTCTAAAGATTTCACCGTAGTTTTCATGACAGCAGCAACAATATCAGTTCTAAGGTGAGGCAGGGTAAGGTTATATTTACTCGTGCAAAATGAAACTTTGTTAAACCAAAATTGCTCACATCTAGGCAAGAGGTGGGATATTTGGCCTTTTCAAAGAGAATACTGTACACAATGAAGAGTGTAGAAAAGAACACTTGCCCAGAGTGATTTTCTGTACAAAAGTAGGGCCTGCAAATAGGCAAAACATGACTTTGGCATTTTTTTGCAGGAATAGTACTGGACTTCATATCTGTAATCAGAATTTTGTATTTAGAAAAGTCTATAATAAAATTAGGCCACTTTAGAAAAGTTAATAATCCTCAGTGCTTCTAGTATAGATTAACAGTCTATAAAAAATAAAAAAAGTATTCTAAAATAGTATTCCTGTTTGTAGTGCTAAGGTATTTTTACCCTTTGAGTCTATAGAGAATCATAGCAGAAGCTTGATATACTTTTTACCTTCACAAGTTCTTTAAATACAGCATGCTGAATCATTTTTCTTTTGTTAAGACCAGATGCCATCTCTTCAAGATCAATAGCAGACCTTCATGATGATGGTATTTGGGGGTAGGAGGAAGAAGAGCCAGTTAAGACACTAAAAAAAGAAGTTCCTCTCCCAAAGAACGTAAAAATATTTAATTATTCATATTAATAGCCTTCAAATTAACATGCATATAATTACTACAGATTCAAAAGCCTACACTATAAAGAATGTACCAGAATGTACCATGAAATATTAGATGTAAGACATTGGTTAGTTTTGGAAGGCTTTTAAAAAAATTTAAATATTAGTTTGTCTTCATATCACTGCAGAGTATTAATTTTATTTATTTTTCTTGCAGCATATATACTTCAGATATATTTAAACCTAGCAGAAAATAAGACTACTTCTCTAGTTCTACATACTTAAATGCTAGTAGTACTACATTTATTACTCAGACTGGTAACATGAAAAAGAGGATGACCTGTGCATAACAAAGGCTAGGATGCAAGCAGTTAACTGAGTTCCTTACATTATTCTATGTGCCCTACTCCAGCCAGTGACCCTCCCTGTGAACACAATAACTGAGACCAGAAACATTTCTCCTTCATTCAAATTTGGACAAAGAAACCAAGAGGGAAATAAAAGACAATCTATAATAATAAAAGTGTAATATGCTAATTAGACCGGACAGCCGAACGACCTTCTGGACGTCATTCTGGACATCCTCCTGGATGAAGCCTTGGCAGCAGGGGCCGAGGCAGAGGCAGTTAGGGGCGACCAGGCAGGCAGGCAAAGTGGTTAGGAGTGATCAGGCAGGCAAGCGGTTAGGGGTAATGAGGCAGGCAGGCAAGCAGTTAGGGGTGATGAGGCAGGCAGGCAACAGAATGGTTTGGGGCGATCTGGTGGGCGGGCAGGCGAGCAGTTAGGAGCCAGTGGTCCTGGATTGTGAGAGGGGTCTCAGATTTCGAGAGGGTGCAGGCCAGCCTGAGGGACTTCCCACCCCTGGCCCTGTGCACAAATTTCGTGCACCAGGCCTCTAGTTCTCCAATAATGAAGGAGACTGATTAATGCTATCTTAAGCCTGAAGAGGATAAAATGGCACCAATTTTCTATAAAGAATCTGAATTGTTAAAAGGTTTTTATATTAAAATACTATACAGTATATGATTGAATCCATCCAAAGATAGTAGTAAAATGGAAAGAAATCCATAATTAAATGAAAGCCACATGTAATTTATTCTTTGAACAATCATTATGAAAACATACTATACATGTAATCTTCTAACATATGAGTTCTATTCTTTTCCAGTGCTGTACAGCAGAAACTTTTCATGATACAGAACTTTTCTAGTTAGCTCTTCATCCTAGAAAACTAAATTTAGTTTTGCCTGTTTTATTACCTAATTAATTGAACTTACTTTACATTTTCTCTGAGTTGCTTCACTAGTTTAATATTAACATCTGCTTCCAATAATGCTGTGCATACTTCTTTTAGCATAGCATTTAATACCTGCAAATAAATACAAATTGAAAATGCTCAGTGTATTATTTCCATTTCAATCATATAAAAACAATGGTTGATAAGTCATCATATACTACCATAGCTAAATAAAAACAATATTACACTATTGGGGAAACAAAAAGTTTTGTTAGCCTTAGAAATATCATCTTATAAAATGTCTGGTCATTTTGTCAAAAAATACATTCTATTTAGTTTTATTCAATTAAGTATTAATTAAAATTTCATTCTGATATTAAAGTAATAATAAAGACAACATACAAGCCAAAGAAAGTTACTACACAATAGTGTTACCAGTAAGTTTTCTATGTCACTGAACACCTCCCATTTGCTGATACACAACACTTTATATTCACAATATCTACTTAACTGGACTACCATGGAGGAAAATGTAACAAAAGAAAATGATCCTCCACTAACAACTTAGTATCATCACATATTAGTTGAGTGGCAAGGCATCGCTATTAAAAGATCACAAACTAAAAAGTCTTAAGAACTGACGGTGTTGCTCAATGGTTAGAGTGCTGGCCCGCACATTGAAGGGTCCAGGTTTTAATGTCCAGTCAAGAGCACGTATGGGAGGCAACCAATAGATATGTCTCTTTCACATTGATTTTTTTTCTCTCTCTTTTCCTTCCTCCCTCCCTACCCGCCTCTCGCCCTCGTAAAAAAATCAATGAAAAAAATGTCCTCAGGTAAGGATTAACACACACACACAAAGAAAAGATGAGGCTTTTGTTGCTCTTGTAAATAAGTGTTTACACACTAGAAGGTAAACTCCATGAGGGCAGGTATATAACCCTTGTAAACATTTGTGTGCCCAACATTGGAGCACCTAAATATGTACAGCAAATCTCAATGGACATAAAGGGAGAGATTGATAGCAATTAGTCATAGTAGGGGATTTTAATACCCTATTGACATTTCTGTCTTCCAGACAGAAAATAAATAAAAAATAGTGGCCTTAAATAACACAGTAGATCAGATGGATTTAATTATAAATCCAGGGCATTTCACCCCAAAGCAGCAGGATATATTCTTTTCAAGTACATTTTCTAGGACAGACCACATATCAGTACATAAATCAAGTCTCAAAAAATTTATGAAGACCGAAATCATATCAAGCATTTTCACTGACCATAATGATATGAAACTAGAAACCAATCACAAGATAAAGACTGAAAAACACAAAGACATGGAGGCTAAATAACATGTTACTAAACAAGAATGAGTGAACAATGAGCTCAAGGAAGAAATAAAAAGATACCTTGGAATAAATGAAAATGAGAACACAACAACCCCAAATCTACGGGACACAGCAAAGCAGTTCTAATAGGGAAATTCATAGCATTACAGACCTACCTCAAGAAACAAGAAAAATGTCAAAAAAAAACACCCCAATCTAACTTTACATTTAAGGGAACTTGAAAAAGAACAACAAACAAAGCCCAAAGTGAGTATAAGGAAGAAAATAATAAAAATAAGAGCAGAAATAACAAAACAGAGTATAAAGAAATAATACCAAAGATCAATGAAACTAAGAGCTGGTTCTTTGGAAAGATGAATAAGATTGACAAACTTTTAACCAAACTCATCAGGAAAAAAAAGAAAGAGGACCCAAATGAATAAAATCAGAAATGAAGCAGGAGAAGTAACAACTGACAACAAAGAAATACAAAGAACTGTAAGAAAATATTATGAAAAACTATATGCCAACAATTTGGAAAATCTGGACGAAATGGATAAATTGCTAAAAACATACATTCTTCTAAAATTGAATCAGGATGAATCAGAAAATCTCAGACAGATTACAACTAGAAAAATTAAAGCAGTAATTAAAAAAAATAACTCTCAACAAACAAAAGCCCTGGACCGGATGGCTTTGCAGATGAATCTTACCAAATATTCAAAGAACTAACACCCATCCTTCTCAAACTATTCCAAAAAATTCAAGAGGAGGGAAGACTCCTAAGCTCATTTTATGAGGCCAGCATTATCCTAATTCCAAAAACCAGATTAGCAAACCAGATACAGCAATACATTAAAAAGGTCACACATAATGGTCAAGTTGGGATGCAAGGTTGGTATAATATCTGCAAATGAAGGATAAAAACCTCATGATCACATCAACAGATGCAGAAAAAGCATTTGATAAAGTCAGCACCTATTTATGATAAAAACTCTCAGCAAAGTAGAAATAGAGGGAACATTCCTCAACATAATAAAGGCTATAGATGACAAACCCAGAGCCAACATCATACTCAATGGGCAAAAATTACACGTGTTTCCCTTAAGATTGAGAACAAGACAGGGATGCCCACTTTTACCACTCTTATTCAACATAGCATTGGAAGTTCTAGCCACAGCAATCAGATAAGAAGAAGAAATAAAAGGCACTGAAATTGGAAAGGAAGAAGTAAAACTGTTGCCCTGGCAGTGGTTAGAACATCGACCCACACATGGAAGGGTTGTAGGTTCAATATCTGATTAAGGGCACATACCTGGGTTGCAATTTCGATTCCTGGCCCTGGTTGGGGCACATGCAGGAGGCAACAAATCAGTGTGTCTCTCTCACATCAATGTTTCTCTCTCTCTTCAACTCCTCCCCTCCCTTTCACGCTCTCTAAAAACCAATGGAAAAAATATCCTTGGGTGAGATTAATATAATAAATAAAAATTATTTTTTAAAAAAAGAAGCTGTCACTATTTGCAGATGATATGATACTGTATTTAGGGAACCCTAACGATCCCACCAAAAAACTACTAGAACTAATAAATGAATTCAGTAAAGTAGCAGAATACATAATACCTGAAATCAGATGCATTTTTTTCTTTTTTCTTTTTTTAAATATATTTTGTTGATTTTTTACAGAGAGGAAAGGAGAGGGATAGAGAGTTAGAAACATTGATGAGAAACATCAATTCGGCTCCCTCCTGCACACTCCTTACTGGGGATGTGCCCGCAACCAAGGTACATGCCCTTGACCGGAATCGAACCTAGGACCCCTCAGTCCGCAGGCCGATGCTCTATCCACTGAGCCAAACCAGTCAGGGCCAGATGCATTTTTATACACCAATAATGAACTATCAAAAAGGGAAACTAAGAAAATAAACCCATTCAAAAAATAGAATAAAATACCTAGAAATAAATTTAACCAAGGATTAAAAGACCTATACTTGGAAAATTATAAGACACTGAAGAAAGAAATTGAAGAAGAGACAAATAAGTGGAAGTATATACCGTGTTCATGGATAGGAAGAATTAACATCATTAAAATATCTATATTACCCAAAGCAATCAATATATTCAACACAATTCCTATCAAGATACCAATGGCATAGTTCACTGAACTTAGAACAAATATTCCAAAAATGTATATGGAACCACAAAAGACCCGGAATAGCCACAGAATCTTGAGAAGGAAGAACAAAGTTGGAGGAATCATGCTCACCTAATTTCAAACTACACTACAAGGCCATAGTAATCAAAACAGCATGGTACTGGCTTAAAAACAGGCATATAGATCAATGGAAGAATAGAGAAACAAACCCATGCCTTTATGGTAAATTAATATTTGACAAAGGAAGCAAGAGCATACAATGGGATAGAAATAGTCTACTCAATAAAAGGTGTTGGGAAAAGTGGACAGATATGTGCAAAAAAAAAAAATGAAATCAGACCACCTGTCTTATATCATACACAACAATAAACTCAAAATGGATTAAAGACATAAATGTTAGATTCAAAATGATAAAAATCCTAGAAGAAATCTTAGGCAGTAAAATCTCAGACATTTCTCTTAGCAGTATTTTTTCTGTTGTATCCCCTTGGGCAAGGGAAACAAAAGAAAAAAATAAACAAATGAGGCTACATTAAACTAAAAAGGTTTTGCACAGCAAAGGAAAACAGACAAAATGAAAAGACAATCCACTGAATGGGAGAGCATATTCACCAGTGATACATGAGATAAGGGGTTCATATCCAAAATATATAAAGAACTTATAAAACTCAACACTAAAAAAAACCCCACACAAACCCAAACAATCCAATTAAAAAATGGGCAAAGGACCTGAACAGATACTTCTCTAAAGAGAATATACAGATAGATGGGCAACAGACATATGAAAAGATGTTCAATGTCACCAATCATCAGAGAAATGCAAATTAAAACTACAATATTATCTTACACTTGTCAGAATGGCTAACATCAATAAATCAACAAACAGCAAGTGTTGGTGAGGATGTGGAGAAAAGGGAACCCTCATGCACTGTTCGTGGAAATGCAGACTGGTGCAACCACTGTGGAAAGCACATAGAGCTACCTCAAAAAATTAAAAATGGAACTGCCATTTGACCCAGCAATCCTATTTCTGGGAATACATCCTAAGAATCCCAAAGCACCAATCAGAAAAACTATATGCAGCCCTGGCTGGTTTGGCTCAGTGGATAGAGTGAGCGTTGGCCTGCACACTGAAGGGTCCTGGGTTCGATTCTGGTCAAAGGCACGTGCCCAGGTGTGGGCTCAATCCCTGGTGGGGGGTGTGTAGGAGGCAGCCAATCAATGATTTTCTCTCATCACTAATGTTTCTATCTCTCTCCCTCTCCCTCCCTCTCTGAAATCAATAAAAGTATATATATATTTTTAAAAAGAATCCAGGTCAACCAACTTGTAGAATATCACACTTTCTAGATGTATCTG